GTGCAGTGTATGTGCCAAATACTTCCAGGCTGATAAGAGACTTGGGACTGGGGTGAATAGTAAATGGTTATTCACAGCCTCTCCTCTCTTATGACTCCTATATAGACAGGCTACAGGATTATCTAGCACCCCATCATATTCACAGCATAGATTGCAGGAACAAGGCCTGGAACTCTACACAACAGTTTACTAGCAGGAACACAATAAAAGGGCTTTCAGTAACAACTGTGGTTGTGTTTGTTACAAGAGAGCAGAGCAATGGACAAGGTTTATTAAAGCTCATCATAAAAAAAAAAAAAGTACCTTTGGTGTGCGCTGCTAAGGTTAAGTGCTCATTATATAGGTGGAGGTGGAGGCGATGCCACAAGGTAATTTGGCAACACAGTCACCCAGAACTCTCAGTCACAGTGGCTGAAAGGTTCCAGGATGTGAATACTTTTGCAGGGAAGAAACTGGCTTTTCAGTTTTTTCCAGCTTTTCTAGAATGCAGCAGGATGGAATCTCTAGTTCTGGTGCCAGGTGTTGCCAATAACCAGTATAAGTTATAAGTTGATATAAGTTGATCAGGTGGCTGAGAACAGCCTTATTAGGAGTTTGGACCAGAGCTCAATGGAGTTGTGGGTGTGCAGGAGGCACACAGCCACAGGCAGACTCTGCTGCGTGCGCGAGCACATGTGCAACAGCCGCAGAAGGCTAGGAGAGGTCGAGAGGGTCAACGACATCCAAGGGACCTGTTGGAGAGACTGAGAGAAAGTTACCCACAAAGGGTTGAGTACTGAAACGCTTGGAGCTGAGGAAAGCTGCTGAGCGATACTGAGGACTGCATATACGGAGAAATATGGTAACGTCCTGAGACTATAACACTGGGAGTGTATGGGACAGCCAGATGTCGGTGAGACCAAAACTTGATGTTTTGATGAAAGTCAAAAGAAACTGTTATGTTTCATTATGCTGAAGAAAAATAATATGTGAAGTACATCGATTGTTGGCCTTTTAGTGAATAAAGACTGTCTTTTTATTTTAAAGTCAGCTTCAGGAGTGGTCACTTAGCGCTCACCATTGTTCTATATTCCCCAAACTACCCCAATACATATAATATTGTGTGTATGTATATATTTCAAATTTGATACTTATCCTGTTCATGAATATTGTTACATAGTTTCTAGTTGAGACCTTTTGGTCTCCTCCTTGATCTACAATTTTCCTTGGCTTGGTCAAAAGCTCCAGTGTTGTGTAATAGTCAGGTTGGGTCTCAGCAAGGGTTTGGTGGAGCTTCATCAATGATTGCAGGTAGACTGACAAATCTTCCTGACTACCGGGGCCGTCACAACGGACTAGGGGTGGGGGCGCAATACATGCCTTGCCCTGGGCACTGACCACCCACACTATGCCATTGCTTCCGACAGAGGAGGCTCTTTAATTAGGCAAATTAGGCGGTCGCCTTAGGCCTCGCGGCCGCCTAATTTGCCCTGCCGTCACATTACCTCACAGCCAGGTAACGTCATGAGCTCTTAGCCCTGTCAAACGTTTGACATTGACAGGGCTGAGAGCTTATCCGTTTCCTCGGTCCGTCCATTCGGCCAGTGGTCCTCTGGAGCTCCGCCCACCAGCCACTGGGAAGCCATCTCACCCCTCCCATCCACCGTGCGAGGATCCCAATCTGGCTGGGAGGGCGGAGTTGAATCTGGCTGGGAGGGCGGAGTTAAATCTGGTTGGGAGGGTGGATCGTCAGGGGCAGATGGACGGAGACGTAGTCAGCAACGGCTCGTCCTGCACGCTCCCGCCCGTGAGACGCTCCCGCCCACGAGACGCTCCCTGCACAGTCCTGGGGAGAGGCAGCCTTCACAGGCTACAACAATGGTGAGAGCCCTGTGACCCTGGAGAGTCCTGTGGAGACCCTAGGTAGCCCCGGTTTAACCAGGGCTCTGTGGGGGCTCACCAGCTGTCTGTGGGGTCTAACAAGGCTGGTTAGACCCCACAGAGCCCTGGTAAGACCCCACAGAGCCCTGCTACCCTGGTGAGACCCCCTCAGAACCCTGGTAATTCCCCAGAGAGCCTTGGTGAGACCCCCACAAAGCCATTGTGAGACCCCATGCAGCCCTGGTGAGACCCTATGGAGCCCTGGTGCTTGTGAGACCCCACATCGCCCTGGTGAGACCAGGGCTCTGTGGGGTCTCACAAGGCTGGTTAGATCCCACAGAAGCCTGGTGAGACCCCACAGAGCCCTGCTACCCTGGTGAGACCACCTCGGAGCCCTGGTGAGACCCCACAGAGCCCTGGTACCAGGGCTCTGAGGGGTCTAATCAGGCTGGCAAGACCCGACAAAGCCATGGTGGGAGCCCTGGGGAGACCCTACGGAGCCCTGGTGCTGGTGAGACCCATCACCTCCGCACATAGCCATGGTGGGACCCCATAGAGCCCTGGTTAGACCCTTCGGAGCCCTGGTGCTGGTGAGACCCCACAGAGCCCTGGTCTAACCAGAGCTCTGTGGGGTCTCTACTGGGCACTTTGGGGTCTCCCCTGGGCTCTGTAGGGTCTCGCCAGCCCTGGTTAAACCCCACAGAGCCTTGGCGAGACCCAGCAAACCCCGGGGAGACCATATAGAGCCCTGGTTTAACCAAGGATCTGTGGGGTCTCAACAGGGCTCTGAGGGGTCTCACAAAGGCTCTCTGGTTGTCCCACCAGCCTGGTTAAACCCCACAGGGCCCTGGTTAAAGTAGGGCTCTGTGGGTTTTCACTATTCCTGGTTAAACCCCACAGAACCCTGGTGAGACCCCACAGAGCCCTGGTCTAACCAGAGCTCTGTGGGGTCTCTACTGGGCACTTTGGGGTCTCCCCTGGGCTCTGTAGGGTCTCGCCAGCCCTGGTTAAACCCCACAGAACCCTGGTGAGACCCCACAGAGCCCTGGTTTAACCAGGGCTCTGAGGGGTATAATCAGGCTGGTGAGACCTACAGAGCCCTGGTTTAACCAGGGCTCTGTGGGGGTCTCACCAGGGCTCTGAGGGGTATAATCAGGCTGGTGAGACCTACAGAGCCCTGGTTTAACCAGGGCTCTGTGGGGGTCTCACCAGGGCTCTGAGGGGTATAATCAGGCTGGTGAGACCTACAGAGCCCTGGTTTAACCAGGGCTCTGTGGGTTCTCACCAGGGCTCCGAGGGATCTCACCAGCCTGGTTAAACCCCACAGAACCCTGGTGAGACCCCACAGGCCTGAGCGGGGCCTCATGTTTAGGTTTCGCCTAAGGCCTCGCAAACTCTAGAGCCGCCTCTGGCTTCCAATATACCGAAAGAAAAACAAATCCTACCCCTAGGGTTTTTGTTTTTTAACTTTACTTCCACTTTAAAGAGTTACCGTTTTTCAGTTTCAAGGGGGCTTGCAATTTTGTTGCAAGCACCCGTGATAATTTTGGTATCATTTCACTCAAGGCAACCTTTTTATATTGTACCAAACAATGGGGATGTTATTGTGTTTGTGTGCATTTCATTTCAATGCTTTTTTTTTTTTTTTTTACTGAAACTTTGGGTTTAATAAACTGCTAATATTGTGTGACATAAACAAAGCTGCCACCAATTTATGATCCGGGGCCTCTGCTTTCAGAACATATATCTTTTTGAGGGGCTTTAGGCAATTTTCAGGCCCAAAATGTGAATTTAAACAGAAGCAAAAAAAATAATGCAAAAACATTTCTGGCAACAGAAGGGTTAAAACACATTTTAGTAGCAGTGCATCTTGTGAAAGGTATAGCGGGGCATATCTTTTGATTTCTAGTTCCAACTACATGTCTGTTAGGTGTTTCTATTTCACACAGCATACTTAAAAATAATTTATAGAAAAACTATTTCCTACCTTTGAGTGTTTTTCTTCAGTGGCCTTGGCCCAGACTGCAAGTTATGCGGAACAGTTTTGTGATTGAGTCGGTCCCCAAGACAAAATGGGACAGATTACACTTTCTTTTATTAATATGCAATGCTTCTAGATCAGCCTCTTAACCAGGGGTGCCTCAAAATTTCCACACATCTTAATGCCTCTGACGTCAAAGCGAGGGGCCTGACATGAAACAGGGGCTTCTGACGTGAAAGAGAGGGGCCTCTGACGTGAAAGCGAGGGGCTTCTGACGTGAAACGTGGGCCCTAATGTGAAATGGGGTTTCCCCGCCCCTAAAATCCATACCAGACCCACGATCTCGGATAAGGGCCCGGTATGGATTTCGGATGGACAACACAGAGGGAAATTTATCAAAACTGGAGCAGATGTGCATGGCAACCAATCAGCTTCTACCTTTAAATTTTCAAATCTTAACTGAACAAAGCCGCTGATTGGTTGATACATTTCCCCTCATAATGTTTTTAGACTGGGATGCCTCAAGCTTTTGCATACTCTTAAAAGGACGCCACGACTGGGGGGGGGGAGTGGAGAAAAGCGGTTTTAGATTTTTTTTTTTACTCTTTGTTAGGACATAGTGTTCACATCGATAATGAGATCTGCCAGCACAGTACAGTATTTTGGTAAACATCTCCCCAATAGCTTTAGCCCCATCCTTTAAATTATAGTAAATAGAAAAAAACACCAGTTTGAGTTTTCAGAAAAAATGCATTTAATAATTTTTTGTAAAGTTATCCTCTGTGAATAGGAACATGTAACATACAGTATATAAAATAGGTTTTTCCCCCAATTTGGCTGCAGAAGTGGAAATACATTTTAAGTCTGTAAGTTTTAAGTAAGAAATTCTGAATGCAATGACTATGATCATCTTCAGTAAACACTCATTGAATAATCACACTTTTGTAGTCTTGCCTAAGTTATCAGTAGGTCAGTCAACAACAATCTATTCAGAATGGAAGAGTCATGGGTGTTCCCAAGCAACCATAGCCACACACACTGAAATACATCAGCATATCTACAATTGTGTTTGGGTTATTGTTGCCAAGTGAAGGTCTTTTCCCTTCTCCTGTTTAGTACAGTCTTGTCAGCTTCCAGAGGGCTGGAGAGTTGGTGAGAGATGAGCAATTCAGACGTGGTAACCCTAAATGTTGGTGGTACAAAGTTCACCACTTTTGCTTCAACGCTGCAGAGGTTTCCAGACTCCAGACTGGCGCACATGCTGGATGGCGGTGACCGGGATTTCAGGCTAGTGAACGGTCAGTATTTTGTAGACCGGGACGGCTCCTTATTTAGCTACATCTTGGACTACCTCAGAACTTCTCAGCTGACTTTGCCATCTGATTTCTCGGAATACGAAAGACTTCAGAGGGAAGCAGAGTTCTACCAGCTTCAGGCTCTGGCTGAGCAGCTGGGCCAGGAGAATTTTTACCGGCCCAGGCAGGAGATCTTGGAAGTGAGGTTCCTCCTGCAAGAGACGCACGCTTTCTTTCGCATCTTCTGCTCATGCAGCAGTACGGTTGAAGCTCTTGCGGACCGCATTGTAATGTATGTCGAACAGTCTCTTGGAGGTCAAGGATGGAACTTCCCATTTTCTAACCAGAAACCTCTGGCTCCTGTGCCGCTACAAAGACCCTCACATCATGACCTTGTCTTCCAGTGTGGGACAGACCACACAACAGGAGATCAGTTTGGAGCCAGGTAAATTTACCAATTTGTTAATTAAATGAATTGTTGTTCTGCCCTGAATTACAATATCTAATTCACACACCAAAAAAAAAAAAAGGTATAGCTACTTGTAAAAGTGTTCCATGACAAGTTGCAAGCCAAAATTTAGGTCATGAACACATGAAAACAAAAGAAAAATGTCATGTATTGCAGCTTACCAGTCTTTAGATGAGGTGGCTGCAAGAGTTCCTCAGTTCTGGCTTTTTTTCCTTTTATATTCACCTGGTAATATCACATTTCCTGTCCCTTCATGCCAGATTTTTTCCTCCACTCTGTTGGGGCAGCTGTGGTTGTCACCAAGGCTAAACGTCAAACATGTCTGTGTTAGTTCATCTCCATTACATGGTGGGTTGATTGGACGAGTAGTAGTTTACACACTAAAGATAAGGTTCAGTGTGCTTCCCTTTAAGATTGCAGAAAATCCCTGGAAAAACAAAACTTCCTATGCATGGGTGACTCCACTCACTCCACTGTGTCTATGGAGGGAACCATGGTGGTCACTCAAGTTGGACTTCAAACATGTCGACTTCCCCTAATTTCCACTACAAAAGGGGTGGAGTAGGTCAGTCTCCCCACATTTCCATTACAGGGGGGGGGGGGGGGGGGGGGGGGTTGAAGAAGGAAGATGACATTGTTTCTGCTTGCAATTAATCTCACAGGAAGTGACAAGGACATTGCATATCTGGCAAGGTCAACAAGGTATTTTCTGTACTTGCTGAAAATGTTGAGCATGTAAATAGAAAAATAATGCAAATACCACATCTAAGGACTGGTACGCTGCAATATATCACATTTCAGTTCTTGGGTTTAGATATCCTTTACAATCATGAAAAATAGCTTCTCAGAGCTAAATACAAGTTTCCACATCACTGCAAATCCTGATATTAAAACCAAGCGCAGCTTGCCATTGGAATGTCACCAGAACCGCCTAATTTCTATGGGGCAGTCCAGGACAGCAGTGACCACGCCTTCTCAAAGGAGCAAAACGGCAGGTAAGACAGCTCCGGTAGATAGCTATAACCCTGGTATAGGGCTACCTGCATGCGGCGTCTCCTCTACTGGACCAAGATGCATTCATGCTCCTGCAGACTTTCATATGGCAGAGAAAATGGGGGGGGAGGGGTAAATAAATCTTTACATCATGCATGAACATCTCCAACCCTCCAATCCATGCAAAACACAGAGCCTTCTTTTGTGACCAGATTGTTTGGAAGTTTAGACACCCTGACCTAGATAAGCAGCATCGGTGTGCATCCAGTAACATGACAATAACTATAGGACTATTTTTTCTGGTCGACAATGGATCTAAGAACTAGGAACACACAGTTGCACATTCATAATTCTCTTCTGCAAGGTTCACCAACATTCTGACACAAGCGTATTCCTGTCACAGAGGTTAAACAAGGTTCTGCTCCACAGAAACCATGGATTCCATGAACTACACCAGGTCAATCGCGATGTCCTGTCTTATCTGGATCCCCGCTGCTCTCCCCATCTGTATGCAGCAGGGATCCATGGAAAAGTTAAAGTGAAGCTGCAGTCGGCGGAGGACAGAGCCGCTAACACAGCAGCACGCCGAGCGGTGAGAGGGAGAGCCGCTCGGCAGGATCCGACAGCCAGCGGCTCTCTCCTCACTGCACATGCTGCTGTTACAGCGGCTCCGCCCCCCCCCGGTGGCTGAAGTGTTTCCTTCACTTCTCCTCGGATCTCCCGCTGCCTCCGCCCGGAAGAGCAGCGGGGAATCCAGAGAAGTTGCAGAGTGAGTGCATGGCCGAGCAGCAGAGGATCGGTACCAATCCTCTATGCAGGGCAAACACTGGAGCGATCAGCTGATCACTCCAGGTGTTTGTAAATAACTGGGGACACATAGTACTATGTGTCCCGTTATTAATGAACAGGAAGTGATTTACATCACTTCTGTTCATGCATGAGTTTCTCAGTGGGGAGTAGCACTCTGTACAGAGGATCCTCCCCTCTGCAGTTTAGACTCTAAAATATTAGGCTGTATTTGTACTTTACACGAAGCAATCTGGATGTGCAGTTGGTCTACAGGGAAGAAATCAATTGCAATGCTCCCACTATCCTAAAATGAGAAATAAATCCTTTCTTTGAATCTGTGATGAAAAGTGAGACATGCAGATACCTCAGGGCTGGACAAACCCTAGGAGCTAGGTAGCCAATGCTCCTTACAAATGACAGCTGGCGCCTATAATTGAGGTTGGCAATGGAGCTGGCGCCTAAAAAAAAAAATCCTGCTGGCTACTGCATTGGATAGACTGACTCCCAATTTCTCTATTCATTTGTCCACCCATGAGATACATTCTCTCTTAGGAGGGCTCTACTGTGTTTTGTATTGTTATGTGCTGTAAGGAAATCGGTGAACCCTGCATATTTTCAAGTCATAAATTGTCTTTTTGTAACTCATCGCTGTAGGTATGTGTCCATAAAGCCTGACCAAAGAAAGCTATTGAATGGTACCAACGTGCTGGGACTTTTGCTGGACATCTTGCTACGTGATGGCTTTAGCCTGGTGAGCACAAGAGCCGTATCAGCAGAGGAGAAAGTAGAGTGTTACACATTCCAGAGGAAGAAGAGACCTGAAATCCTTACCATCTCCGAGAACTACAAACAGGAAAAGAATGTCAATAGCCAAGTGAAACAGAGCAAACCAAACAAAAAGAAATGATCCCGTACATCTCATCAGAAGACCTTACATGTACTGACCATTACATAATCATCAGTAGGAATACACTTGTATGTCAAATATGCTGCAGCCTTCAAAACAAGTTGGATGGTGAGCAACAGTGAACATGTCCAATTTTTGAAAGAAATCTTTGTAACCCCCTGGCTAACCATGAGCAGCCCCAGTCCTCACCATGCATTACACTGCACTGTCAGATTTTAGTTGGGGATCGGACCATTCAGGTGGTGGAATGGTTACTACCATCACTTTGCATCTTTAAGGTCCTGGTTTCAATCTGTACCACAGACATTATCTCCATAGAGTTGGTATTTTCTTCTCATGTTTGCTTGGGATCCTCCACACTGTATAAATACTACTGGTAGATGTTGGCATCTGAGCAACCCTGCCCTTCAGTGTGCCTGCTTGTAAGCTTCTTCATGTGCAAAATGTATTATATGATGGCAATATGTGCCCAATCGCCACTGACTAGCTTATGAATTTAGAGCTTTTACATACTGTACATGTCAATTAAAGTAAAAAAATAAGTGATAAAGTATATCAAGCACAAGTTTGATGCATTACACCATATTGACCCATTAAAATAAATTCATTTTCTGTGCTTATGGTCCTTGATCTATGTCCTCAAAATCTATTCATCTTTTGGCATTGACCATTTCCAATCCTTATACAACAGTAATGGCTGGGTTCTGGAGATAAGCCCTTTATTTCATCACGTTTAAAAGTAGAGGTGCACTGAAATGAAAATTTGTAAAAAAAAAAAATGTAATTATTGTATAAAAAAATACAAAAAACAATAACATTCAGGCCGAAAACATTTTCCTAATCTTTTAAAAAACAAAATTGTAAATATTAAAACATTTTCTGAACTTTTTTTTTTTTTTTTTAAAGCCCTTGCTGTCCACCCATCGCAAAATTACAGGCGGACAGTGGATCCTTCCCGGCAGGGTCACGTTAATGTACATCTTTTTTTTTTCTGCTCAGAAGCCCGCCGGGAAGGTAAAAATACTTATAGCCGGCCGATCGCTTGTATAACCCTAAATTGTGCGGCGCACCCCCTCCATAGCTGCTGCCGGTTATCCCGGGCACCGCTGTCCCCCTGTGGTGCCTGGGACTGACAGAACCAGCAAAGCGGCTGAGATCAGCATTTCCCACCGTTGATCTCGTCCCCTTCTCTCTCTCTCTCTCTGAAGTCGGAAAGCGATGTCTATTATATCTCTTCTGCCTTTAGCTGCCATTTCTCTGGCTGGGAGCCAGAGAAGAAGCTGATGAAGCAGATCTCTACCTCATCAGCTTCTTTGGGGGGTGACATTCCCTAGGTGACATTAGGGTTCTTGGGGACCCCTGATGTCTCCATTAAGAGGACCTCTCATTTTTTTCTAGCTATCACATTAGGGGCTTTTTAGCCCCCAATGTGATAGCAATCAAGTGTAAAAAAATAAGAAAAAAACATAAAAAAGTTTCAAGTCCCCCATGCGCACACTTCTATACGTAAATACGTGTCGGGCGCACCTACGTGCAAAAACGATTGTAACGCACGTTACATATCGCCGCGAACGTTGCAGTGAGAGCAATAACACTGAACAGATGAGCATTAAAAGCTTTTAAAGCGTTGCCTATGACCAATTTTAAGCATGGTAGTTTTTTGCGATTTCGCAGGTGTGCGCAATTTTAAAGCTTGACGTGTTTGGAGTCTATTTACCCGACATGACCCCGTCTTTTATATTTTACCAAAAATATGGGTAATAAAATGTAATTTTTTCAAAATTTACGGTCCTTTTTTCATTATACAGTAAAAAATAAAAGTAGTGATTAAATACCACCAAAAGAAAGCTCTATCTGTCCCCAAAAAACGGTATAAAATGTATTTCAGTACAGCGCTGCATGACCGAATAAATGTCAAAGTACTGCAGCGCTGAATACTGAAAAATGGCCTGGACAAGAAGTGGGTGTAAACACCCCGGTCAGCAAGCGGTTGAATATTTTATACTTTACTTTTAGGGGCTCTGGGTAAATATTAGGGGTCAAAAACAGAACCCTGATATTTCACTTTTAAAATAGAAAAAGAAGATTGAGGACACAGTCCTCCAAAATCTTTTTCTGCAGCCTGTTATTAATGAACAGGAATCCTCTATACTGAGTGTTCCTGTCCATTCCTAACTTGTGGCGATAGTAGGTTTACTATATCCACAATCATATGTATAGCACTTCCCACTCATTCCTAACTGGGGACACAGTAAACATACTCTGTCCTCATTTATTTCGAAGCACTCAGCGATCACTGAGTGCTTGTACCCGCTCTCCATCCTATCAAGAGCGGGCGGTGCAGGGAGGAGAGCTCGGTGTATTTTGACAGCTGACTCCTCCCCTGCACCACCGGCTCTGCATCCTGTGACAGTTACATAGCTCTCCATCCTGATTTGTCACAGGAGGACGAACGGGAGGAATGCTCGGCCTCTTGTGACACGCCTGCCGCTCACATCACTCCCCTCCCCACACTGCTCGGCCTCCTGTGACAGTTTCTATCCCTGCTGGACAATGCGCTGTGTCAGAGGGGACAGAGAAATTTTGCTGCATCCCTGTTTTGAAAGTATCCAGAAAGCAGCAGGAGGAAGTCAGGAAGCAGATACTTCATGGGTAAAGCGTCAGAAAGAAAAAAAAAAAAGAAGAAGACTACAGCATCTGGGGCTCAGAAATGAGTAATTGTAATAATTTTTACCATGTCACTCGAGACTGAAGGAAGTGATATGCAATTCTACCAGGATACAATTGTTCACATATTTTATTACTGTGTTACCATGTAAATTGAAGAGACAACACCAATGCAAACTTCCTAACATCAAGGATGGAATTCTGTATCTAGAACAGGGCGGTACCTCAACTTTCATACCTCATATCCTTTTCTTTGAGTAAACCTCTACACATTCCATGGTGACTGGATTAAGATGTCTGTGCAGCCTGTGAGTATATAAATGGTGGGGTATCTTCCCGACACTCATTGAACTGTGACTTGGAGAATCTACAAAACATCTTCAACATTACGGAAGTCCAGCTGAATGTGACTACCGGCTCTATCATGACTTGGATAAATGTGAACCTTCACAGGCATAACTTATTTATTCTGAACTTTAAATCAGACCCAGACCAGTGGGCATAGACAAATTAATGTGTACATGGATAGAAAACTGGCTACAGGAATGGGTACAAAGAGTATCGATAAATGGCACCTTCTCGGATTGGGCTAGGGTCATGAGCAACGTTTCTGCAGGGGGTCTGTGCTGGGCCCCATGCTGTTTAACCTATTAATTAATGATATTGGGGAGGGGGTAAAACAGCCATGTTTGCGTTTGCTGATGATACCAAAATCGGGAGGGGAATAGTCACTGAATCTGATGCTATAACATTACAGGGGGATGTGGATAAAATAGGCGAGTGGGCAACCACATGGCAGATGAGGTTTAATGTAGATAAAATGTAGAGTTGTGCACTTTTGGGGTTAAAAGCAAGAAAACGGATTACACACTAATGGGAGCTCCCCTCGGAAAGTCTGAAAGGGAAACAGATTTGGGGGTCATCGTAGACCACAGGCTGAATAATAGCTCACAGTGTCAGGCTGTGGTAAACAAAGCAAGTAGAGTCCTTTCCTGTATTAAGAGGGGAATGTTTTTCAGGGACAAGTCCATAATTGTGCCACTTTATAGATCACTGGTTCGGCCTCATCTGGAGTATGCGGTCCAGTTTTGGGCACCAATGAATAGAGGGATGTCCTTGAACTGGAAAGAGTCCAGAGGGCAACCAAAAACTCATAAAAGGGGATGGAGGACCTGAGCTATGAGAACAGGCTACTAAAATTAAACATGTTCTCCTTGGAAGTAAGGAGATTAAGGGGGGACATGATTTTCATGTATAAAATGTTTACCGGGGATAGTAACATTAGCAGCAAACTTTTTACAATGAACTCGATGACAAGGAGAGGCCACCACTTAAAATTGGTGGAGATAAAATTTCAGCGCAAGGGGCTGTTCTCAGTTAGATCGGTCAGGGTCTAGAACTCGCTGCCACATGCTGTGATTTCGGCCGAGCGTGTGGAATAATTCAAGAGGCAATTGGACGATTTCCTCAGGGACCATAATATACAGGGGTACAAGTACTCTTAAGATTGAGAACACACATGGACCTATACATACTACACACCAATAGGACCATACACAAATAGGTTGGACTTGATGGACATATGTCTTTATTCAACCTCAAATACTATGTAACTATGCAAGTGTAAATATTGCCATGGTTACATTCAGGTGCTTTGCATCAGTCCTCTAGGTGTAGACCTTGACTAAAGCAAGAAGGGCATCAGTTTGATAAAATGGCTTCAGAGCCAGGAGAAGCAACATGATTTCTATGCTGCACTGCTCTCATGTAATTGCAGAGGATCGCCAACTGCTAGAAGCTGGCAGTTCGTGCATACGTTTAGGCAAGTCCAATTGACTATCCCATATTAGTCAATGACAGCCAATTAAAGAAAGCAGGATGCACATCTAGAAGGATCCCTGATACGATCATTGTTCGTTGTCCTGACATGGGAGACATGCACACTGTACAAAACTGCTTTCTATGAGCAATGGATCGATGGTAGCACCTTGTACTAACGTCTGGGCTTGCTTTGTTCCTCCTTCAAAGATTTTTTTTTTTTCCTTTAATTAAAAAAATTCTCCCTTAAAAGACAATATAAATGAGGGGAATTTATAAAAACTGGAGCAAAGAAAATCTGGGGCAGCTGTCCATAGCAACCAATCAGCTACTCTTCAGTTTGTTCGGTTAAGATTTGAAAATGAAAGATAGAAGCGGATTGGTTGCAATGGGCAGCTGCCACAGATTTTCTTTGCTCCGGTTTTGATAAATCCCCTTGGACGTGTTTACCTTAAGAGCTGGTGTTGGAGTTCTGCATTCCCATACAAGTCTATAGTAATACAAAACCTCATGAA